TACAATAGAGGTTACTATAAGGGGCTTTAAGGGTTACAATTGAGGCCACTATAAGGGGCTTTAAGGGTTGCAATGAAGGCCGCACGCACACTGCCGCAGTGCTGGGCATATTGCTTGACCCCCCGCCATGTCTTCCTGTTCCAGCTTGTGGTGCTCTACTGCTGTCGAAAGCTCCTGTCTGGACCCCGCGGCAGTCGCGACCTCCTTGGCTCTGTCATAGATGTTGCCGCTAGCCTTTCTGTTTCTCGGGACCACAGGAGCTGATAGGAACCCTAAACCCTGAACTCTAAACCCTGAACCCTGAAACCTGATAACGCTTACAGTTAGGGCTTAGGGTTTAGGGTTTAGGGTTTGAGGTTTAGGGTTTAGAGTTCAGGGTTCAGGGTTTAGGGTTCACATGGTGCGCCTGAACCGGATGGCGGATGACTTCTCAACACATGGGTAGTTCTCTAAATTAGGGTCCCCTTCTGGGGGCCTTTTTTGTAAGGATACCGAATTTAGAGAACTACCCACAGGATCCTGAATCCTGTCGATTTGAGCTGTAGTGTCGAGAGCTATACCGCAAGAGAACAGGTTTAGGGTTTAAGGCTTTTTGGAAAGCCCAACACAAAAACCCTCGATCTCTGACACCCAAAACCCTGAACCCTAAACCTTACTTACATCCGAAACCACAAAACCCTCAAAACTCCAACACCCTAGTATAGGGGGGCTCAATAATTGGAATAGGGTTTGGGGCCGCATTCTGACGAAATTATAGGGAAGGAGCCCTCCAAAATAGTATTGGTAATTACTCACGCCCCTACAGTACACCCTAAACCCTAAACCCCGCCAGCCCTAAACCCTAAACCCTAAAACCCGCCAGCCCGATCTGAAACCCTCAACACTCTGTTTAAGGTTTTGGGTTTACCTTAAGAACCCAAAACGTAGGTTCTCATTATATACCCTAATATGGGATTTATAGGGACCCTACAAAAAAGTCGGTTTTGGGCTCTTAAGGTAGGGTTCCAACTCCCGCCTGTCTTCAAGGTCGAGATTGTCACGCCAAGTGCCCTCCCACACCACCGGCTCCTCCCATGTAGGAATTGGGTTTAGGGTTTAGGGTTTAGGGTTTAGGGTTTCAGGTTTAGGGTTTAGGGTTTAGGGTGAGTTACTAGAAGGCTCTCTAAAAATCAAATCGGTCTTTGCAACCTCTCCAATTCAGTTCCTTTGTTTGTTGACCAGTGTTCTGGCCCCCTAAACCCTAAACCCTAAACCCTAACCCTGTTCCTTTGTTTGTTGACCAGTGTTCTGGCCAGGACCCTATAAACGAGGAGCTGCATGGGAGAGGTGAGGTGCAATCCATCCAAAAAAAGCACCGCAATCTGACCGAAGTGCTGAGATTTCCTCCTACCCCTACTCGCAGCCTGCGCCTCAACCCTAAACCCGAAACTTGAACTGCCGAAACCTGCTTCTTTGGAGGGTCCCTGATCTTAGGGCGTATGATAAGAGTATGTTTCGAAAGGAAAGCCTTGGAAGCAACTTGGGCTTTTCATCTAGAAATACATCAGTGATTCTACTTGTTGTTGATGTCGGGCTCCGCCCCTCCCCCCCCCCGTGAACCCGAAACCCCCTAAACCCTAA